CGGGTCTGCTCGCCCCGTGCCAAAGCCATAGCACCAGCCAGCCTCCCCACCGCATATGATACAATGTACAGCTGTACACCTAGCCCCGATGGACGCCCCACGCTCACCTCCCCCCCCCGCCCCAAAGGACCTCCTGTTTTAAATCAGTGATTCCTCTTTAAAAAAAAAAGGATTCCCAGTGGGGGAATATTTTGGCAGAGGTTTTCTTAGCAGTGCTGTAGCAGAAGAGGAGCTGTACAAAGCCAGGTCAAATGTGCAGAGTGGGACAAGAAAGGTAAGAACTATAAAAATTCTCCTGATGGAAATCCAAAGGTTTTTAAAAAATACAGCACTTAAAAACAAAGTCAGATTGCCTTGTGCGCCTCCTAGCTCCACCCTAACATCCAGAAATGCCTCCTGAATGAATTGTCCCTGTAAAAAAATATATACATGTGCATGTCTCTTCCTAGTAAAAGCCCAAAGGTTGACCACAAACACTAAGTGAAAACCACAGCTCTGCTCAAGCTTGACTGTGCTTTTGCACCTAGGCTTGTGGTATGTACATACGCATGTGCACGCATGTGCTCTTGCACACACAGGCCGTGCCACTCTAGGCACCCCAAAACAGGCAGAGAAAAACCCTTATGGAGTTTATCTAATGAGCTCTCTCTATATGTATATTTAAAAAACAAAAACCAGCAATGCAAACAATGCATTTGAACAAGAAGCTCTGCCCTGGGCTTTCCTCCCTCCTGCTGGCTGGGGCTCTACAGGCAGCAGGTGCAGGCAGGTGCTGCCCACAGGCACCAGGGACAGCCTCAGCCCCAGGCAGGGGCAGGAGGTTGGATGGGACTGTTCTCAAGTGCACTGCACTCTGTCGTTTGGCACAGCTGAGGCTTGGTTGTAGGCTTGGCACAGGAGAGTGGACTGTGGGTGGACTTGGTACTGTGGTCCCAGGTTAGAAACAGTCCGGCTCCAGGAGGGCCACTGTGGGCAGGAGTGATCTCTCTTACCTATGTGCATGGGGCAGTCTTCTTG